AGCAGATAGGGGAAGATATAAACACCACAGTCAATGGCTGTTTTCATGTTTATTGTGATGTAGACTTGACTCAGGAAGAAGAGAAGTCCATGCAAATGCCTGATGGTGTATCTGCAGAAGCCCAGTCACAAACCTCATGCTGTCAGTGTTACACAGACCAAGCAAAAATACCTGTAGTGCTGTCAGGGCTCGGGGACAGTATCTCAAATTATCATGCCTCAGAATCTCATGTCCCAGCTACTAGGCAAGACACACGTTCAGAACCTCTCTTGCCCAAGGCCAGTCATAAAAACTGCAATCCTTTGTCTCAAAGACAGTGACTTTAATTCCCCGCCTGTCTAGGAGGCTGGAAGGACTTCTCTACCTATGTATGACAGGTACTGATAGGAATCTCCAGAGGGAAGCTCCTCAGGGTTAGGGTTGCCCAGTGATCCCCAAGAAGCTGGGTTCCCAATCTGACCTATTAGCATAGCTCACACACGGCTTTGATGTGCCTCACAGCTCTCCAGGGGTGATCCCATGTGGCTTCCCCACCTAAGCTTCACAATGGAGAGGTCACCCTGGATCTTTGGGTCTTCAAGAGTATAACAAACTTTGATGTACCTAGGCATAGTACACACCTAAAAGGCCAGCACTGAGTGACAGAGGCAGGAGGATGGTAGGCTCAAGGCTATACTGTAAGACCCAGTCCGACACACAGGGGGAAAGGAAGAAAAGAGAGAGGGGGCAAGGTTTCCAACAACAACACTGTGCATATGTGGGCTGAGTAACCCTATTCACTGGACCCAAGGACTGAGTCAGCCCAGATGTCAATCAGTGAATGTGTGCACACACAAAATGTGACCCACCGACAATGGAGTATTAGCCACCCATGAAAAGGGATGAAGCACTATTTCATGTGACCGTGGACAAATTCTGATGATATGCTGAGAGGAAGCTACTAAACACTCAGATCAGTGTCTAGATAGGAGATCCACAGACAGAGGTAGGAGCAGGCTGGTTGCATGAGGCTGAGGAGGAGGAAGGGACGGCTGAATGGGGTGAAGTCTCCATGGGGGTGATGGAAACGTGCTGGAACCAGTCAGAACCAGTCAGAGCATTCTCCTGAGGCAAGAGAAACTTTAAGTAGTAAAATCGATGCTATAAAGGATTTATTAATTAACTTGCTTAGGAAATATAAATTATACAAAGTGGAATTTTATAGCTGGAAGTTTCTCTGGTCCCACTTGGCCCCATGGTTCCACAGCTGCTTATAAAATAATCACTCCGAGGCTTAATATTAATTTACAAACTGTATGGCCTATGGATCAAGCTTCTTGCTAGCTAGCTCTTATCATTTAGCCCATTTCCGTTAATCTATGTATTGCCACGTGTTCTGTGGCTTTACCTGTGTTACCTACATGTTGGACTGTGGGCTGGCATCTCTCTGACTCCACCCTTCTCTGAATCTCTGCTTGGATTTCCCACCTGCCTCTAAGATGCCTTGCCATAGGCCAAAGCTGCTTTATTCATTAGCCAATGGGAGCAACACATATATCACAGCATACAGAAAGACATCCCACCACAGAACTTAAGTGAAGGAGCACTGCCTCCAATACGATGGAGATAAGTGGTACACTAACTAGGCTTGCTGAAAAACGGTAGGAAGAAAAAATTTGTACCGCAATTGAAGTTCAGGGTTGTGGCAAAGAACATGACCCTAAGGGCAGAGCAGGTTTGCAACCATCATGAAGTCCTGGTCTGCAGTTAAGTGCCCTGAGCTCTTACCAGGAGAAGCACAGTTCTGCCAGGTGGGTAAAATGACCTGGGTAACAAACATTTGAACAGAACAGCACTGGTTGTTAAGAAGCAATCCTGGCAAATCTCTGCCATGTAAATCTCCCATCCATCCAAGTGGCCCGACTTACAGTCTCCTGTCTCTGTTTTAATTGTTCAAAGTGTGGCCAGGGGCTGAAGTGAAAGCGAGTTAAGGATGAGAGTGTATGTGGAATATATAAGCCTAAAGTGTGTAAGTTAATAAAACCTTCTTCTCCGGGCCAGCTCCTCCTTGGGCATCAGCCAGAGCAGGATGTGAGCTATCATTAAAGAGCTTTCTCCTTATTCTTCCTGAATAGCAGAGTGGGTTCTCATTAGTGTTGGGGACACGCAGAGTGGCTTCTCACTGGGGATGGGGGCATGCAGAGTTTTGGTTCACACTGGGGGGCAGGGAGCATGCTTCTGAATCACTCCATGCTAATGAACCACAGCTGAACATGTGTGATCAAACCTCCATTAAGAGAAGAGAGATGGAGGGAAGAGAGAGGGAAAGGGGGAGAGAGGAAGTGTTAGGATAAATGATCACACAGAGAGTGTGTGGACAGAGTAGCCTGCCAAGACAATCCTGTTTGTAAAAGGGATGCACCAAGACCCAAATGGGACAGGAAGTTCACTTCGTTTGTATTCTAACATAGGTGGTGACTGTTCTCCCCCTCTCCCACGTTCCCCCCCTCCCATTGTCTGGGGTTGGACCAATCTTTCAGGGTTGCCTAGTTTTAAAGGAATCCATTCAAAGGAAATGAGGGAAAGTAGAGGCCACTTAAATTCTGATAACAGCTGGGCATGATGGCCTGTGCCTTTAATCCTAGCATCTGCAAGGCAAGAGAGGCAGATCTCTGTGAGTTCTAGGCCAGCCTGGTCTACTTAGCGAGTCCCAGGTAGGCCCGGGCTGCATAACAAACTATTTGAAACAAAACAAACAAAAAAAAGCATTAACCAGGGATAGGATAATCCCTCCCCATCAGGGGGAAGTGGGGAGGGGGGGTCCTCAAGAGCATATGGTAGAGACAGAGTTCAACCTCTGAGAGGCAGTCAAAGAGTACTTCTGGGAAGAAGTGACCCTGAAGGAAGAGAAGAGATATATGTACCTTATAAGGAAGGTCATGGCCCCCAAGGTGGAGGGACAGGGGCTAGAACAGAACAGCACCATCAGGTGGTCATGGAAGGAATGTGTGTGAAAGCAGGAACCAGTGGAGAAGGGCATCCGTGCAAATACAATCACCAAAATGTGCCGGGCACTGGTGAGCCACTGAGGCCACCTTCCAGGACCCCGGTGGCACAAGGAGGCACAGCCATAAATAACAACAGTTAACGTTTTGTAGCATCGCCACTGGTCCCAGGACAGCCCCAAAGAGCCATGTTCCCAACGTCTGGGTGCTCACATCCAAACCCAGCGCCCTGCACTCTGGGCAAGGAGACCTGCACACACTGTGGCCCAGCACAGGACCGCTGCTCATCTACCCCACACCATGCCACTGTGGGGTCCTTTTGCAAAGAGGCCCCACTTCATGCAACTTGATTAGGAGATCAGAAAACAGCATCTGCCTGGGGCTGGCAGTATGAACCTGTATCCCAGGATGCCAAGGCAGGTCGGATAAGTTGAAGGCCAGCCTGGGCAGCATAGCAAGACAATGTCTCAAACTTTAAAAACAAACAAAACCAGAGGCAGTGGTGCACACCTGTGCTTCCAGCATCAGGAGGCAGAGGCAGGAGTCCAAGGCCAGCCTGGATTACATAAGATTGTTGTCCTGGGAGAAAAAAAAAAGTAAAATGTAAAAGAAGGCTGGGGAACATAGTTCAGAGGGAAAGCTCTTGTCTCGAATGTGTGAGGCCCTGCGATCAATCCCCAATATTGCGAAACAAGCAAAAATGTGTCCATATCCAAGCGGGTGGGGAGATGGTTCAGCAATAGGGGCCCAAGAGTAGCTTAGTGGCCCTGAAACTCTCGGGGAGATACGAGAGGACTGGACTGGCAACATTGTAACGGCGTGAGCTGGAATAAGAGGAAGATCATGGGAGCCAACCAGAAAGACACTTGGTTTTCACAGGGCTGGGATGGAATCCTGGAACTTCATGCAAGGCCAGAAAACTCTACCAGGAGACACACCCCCGCCCCTCACTGGGGGAGTCTAGGCCAGGAACACTGCAACCTTTGACTGCTACCTGGGGGCTGAAATGAAGTTGACATCAGCAATGCCAGATTGAGCGAGAAAAACGATCAAAGACCCCCGCCTGATTTTTTTTTTTTTTTTTTTGAGACAGGGTTTCTCTGTGTAGCTTTGCGCCTTTCCTGGGACTCACTTGGTAGCCCAGGTTGGCCTCAAACTCACAGAGATCCGCCTGGCTCTGCCTCTCGAGTGCTGGGATTCAAGGCGTGCGCCACCACCGCCCGGCCCCCGCCTGATTTTTTCTGATTCCAGAGCACTGTCCCAGGATCGGGGTCTTTCACTTAATGTTGAAAACAATCCTAAGAGAAGGGGCCCAATGCCCGCATCCATATGCTGGCCGCACGCTAAGCTTTGCCTTGGTAGACACAATCTCACACTGAAACTCAGCCTACAGATATCATTGTGAAGTCTGGCTCAGGGCAGAAACAAAATAAATACAAACTACAAGGAAGCTTGCCCGAGGGGCTTGGCAGCTCTCCTCTACCTACTGGGCGGTGTCCTTACACATATCTGTAAAATCTTAGGAAGCTGTATAACTGACTACATGTTTAACACAACTAAAAAGAAAGATCTCCCTGCTCCCATTGACTATTGTCTATCTATAACCAGGGCTGCGTGGGGCATTTATTAATATTTCACTGTTTCTCAGCCCATCTGAGGCTCAGAGAGGGCAAGTCACTTGACAAAATGCACACAGCAATAAAGACCAGAGACAGAATGGCTTCCAAGTGGATCTAAAGAAACTATCCAGGGGTAGGGGGCTTGAGGGCAGCCTGTAGGGCAGGCAGGTTGTCACAATCTCTTTACAGAACAGATACCATGGCGATCTAGAGGCTGGCCTGGGTCCGAGGGTCATCGTGTGGAAAGCGAGGACCGCCTCCCCGGCTCGGTAGGCAGGGCGAGGGGAGCCTCCTCGGCGGACAGGTCCGCTGCCCCGGCTTTCCCCGCAGCGATCCCCTGCGGAGGACCAGGACGGCCACCCCGCCTTCCCGCACGCTCGGTCCCGCCGCGTCCTACCTGTGTGTACGGCCCGCTGCCGGCTGGACCCGCGGCCCGGCTCGCCCGCGCTGCCCTCGCTCATCTCGGCCCCGCGAGGACCCTCCGGCCGCCCCGGTCCGCCGCCCCGCCTCGTCGGGTTCCGGATGACGTCACAGAGGCGGGCGGGGCCGTTCCCACGGGCGCGGGGTGGGGACCAGAGCTACCTCTGGCGCCTCTCCCTCTTCTTTCTCGGTCTCCTTTCTTCTCCCCTCCTCCTCGCCCCCTCCTCTCCCCTCCCCTCCGCTCTTCCTCTTCCCTCCCTCGGTCTCTTCTGGTACTCTGAGACCTAGGCTTGAACTCCTAATCGTCTGCCTCCACCTCCAAACTGCTTGGATTACAAGCCCCGCTCCTGTCAATTTGGTAGCTAGGGCACGGAAAGTATGGAACGTTGCCGTTTGGGCACGTGTGCGTGTGCGTGTGCGTGTGCGTGTGCGTGTGTGTGTGTGTGTGTGTGCGTGCAGACACGCATAACTTAAGACAGTCATGTAAGTTGCACCAAATATCGATGCGTGTGTAGATAACTCTCTAGAGGGTGTAGTTTACTCGCTTGCATGGTTCCTGGGGGGCGGGAAGGAGGTCAGGTGGGGGAGGATTTGCTCCATGTGCTTGTCTTAGAAATGTTCTCATTTCACCGACACCCCATACCGATATTCATGTGCAGCTGAAACATAAAATTAAAAGTAATGAATGGGGCCAGGGAGATGACTCAGCAGGTAAAGGTGCTTGCCGCCAAGGCTGAGTTCTAGCCTCCGAATCCACATGGTGAAAGGGGATCGATCAGCCTGCATGCATACAGACACAAAATAAGTACACAAATATATGAAATTGGGACAATTGACTTTTAAAAGAGAAAGTGGGGGCTTGAGAGAAGGTTCATCAGTTAAGGACACTTCCTGCTCTTCTGGACAGAGAGTTTGGGGTTCGATGCCCAGCACCCACAACCACCAGCTCAGAGGATCTGACACCCTCTTCTGACCTACACAGGCACCTGCATGCATGTGGCATATGTACACACACACACACACACACACACACACACACACACACACACACAAATAAAAATAGCTCTTTAAAAAAGATACAGATACAGATACAGAGGCAGGCAGTTATCTGTGAATTTGAGCCAGCCTGGTCTAATTAGCAAGTTCTAGGCCAGCCTGGGCTACCTAATGATACCCAGTCTCAGAGGAGGAGGAAGAGAAGAGAGAAGAAAGAAGTGGGACCTATGGGGTGCAGTTGCTCTTTTACCTTCTCAGGAGGCTGAGGCAGGAAGGTCACTTGAGCCCAAGAACTCAAGGCCAGCCGGGGCAACGCAGGAACTTCATCAAAATAAAGAAAAGTGGGGAGGGGAGGGAGTAGGAAGAGCAGGCAGGTGGCTACAAGGCAGAACAAGAAGTTCTATTTTGAGAATTTCTAAAAGGCTCAGACGCCAGCTGGCACTGGCGACCTTGTTGAAGGTCACCCGGCTTCCAGCGTCCCTCCCTGAGCCTTCGCAGCCCTGCACACCCCTCCCTGTTTTCTTACACCGTGCCGCCTTCCTCCCTTGTCAGATAGTATCTGTTGACCTCTGGATGTTCACACGGTTTCTGTCCTTGTAGTTTCTCTGTCCCAGGGGATGATTAATACAGGATATTAACATTGCTTTAAAAAAAAATTCCCAGGCATGGTGACTCAGGCTTGAAACCCCAGCGCTCTAGAGATAGAGACAGGACTATTAATGAGTTCAAGTCCAGCCTGGGCTACATAGCAAGACCCTCTCTCAAAGCGAATAAATAAGAAAACTGAACTATAATATAAAGACTACGACCCAATAACAGCAGAGTGCTCGGGCGTGCACCAGCTCATCTGTGTGTAAACTACAGCTCATCACCAGAGCCCAAGTCATTCCTCTTCAAACAGAAATCTGTCTCCTACTGTTCTTCTTTTCCCAACTTTCTTTCACATTTTAATTTTTAATTTATGAATATGGATGTTTGCATGCTGTGTGCCATGTGTGTGCCTGGTGCCCGTGGAGGCCAGAAGGGGGCATCGGATCCCCTAGAAATGGAATTGCAGACAGATGTGAACTGCCGTGTGGATGCTGGGAACCAAAACCAGGTTCTCTGGAAGAGCAGCCCGTGTTCTTAACGGCTCAGCCATCTCTCCAGCCAAACTCCCTGGAGAGTTTGTTGTTTTTTTGTTTCTGAGGTTTCTTTAGCCCAGGCTGGCCTGGAACTCATGATATAGTCAAAGATGACCTTGACCCCTTGCCTCTACCTCCCAAGTGCTGGGATTACAAATGTGTGCCAACATGCCCAGCACTTCATTGTCAGCCCTTCCAGCAAACTGCATTTGTGATAAAGTAGAAATTACTGAGCTGGGTGTGGTTGTTTGAGGCCAGCTTGCATCGTGGGACCCTGTGTCAGAAAACAGGGGAGGAAGGAAGAAAGGAAGGAGACAGGAATGGAAATGAGAGTTAATTATCAGCATCACCACCACCACCACCATTTGTGTGTGTACAGTGTGTTTGTGTGTGTGTGTGTGCAGATATGTGCTGGTATGTGGAGGTCAGAGGTCACCTTCAGGTCTCACACCTCGGGAGCTCTCTACCTTATATTAGTTACATTTCTATCACTGTGATAAAATACCACAACCAAAGTAAGAGTTTGCTTTGGGTTTATGGCTTCAGAGGGTTAGAGTCCATGAAAGCGGGGTTGGAGGTAGCAGGCAGTGGGCAGCTGGAGCAGCTGAGTGTGCACATCTGGATCTACAACCAGGAGGCAGAGAGGGCTTACTCCAAATGGCATGCGTCTTTTGAAATCTCAAAGTCTGCCCCCAATAACACACCTCCTCCAACAAGGCCACACCTCCTAATCCTTCCCAAACAGTCCTACCAAGTGGGGACAAAGTATTCAGGCATAGGAGCCTAAGGAATCCATTCTCATTGATGCCACAACACTGTGGTAAGGTTGGGGTCACACCTACTGGCTCAGCAATGTCAAAGGTTAGAGACACTTAGGGTGCTTAATGCATACCATCAGGACCTGCTGTGTGTCCATCTCCTCAGACTTTTTCTCCTCCAGTGTGCTTCTGAGCTCTCAAAACTACCCTTTACAGGGAGGCAAGATCCTCCTGTGGATAGCCACAGAAGCTTGGTGAGTGCTGGGTGATTTAAGGGTACCACCTGACCATCTATGGACCTCCTTTCTAGACTGTGTCTTCAGTGGCAAGGGATTCAGTTAGACTGGCTGGCCAGGAGCCCCAGCGATCCTCCTATCTCTGCTCCCAAGACTGTGGTTACAAGCACACACTACAAACAAGGTCTCACTCTGTATCCCAGGCTGGCTTCAAATTTACAATCCCCCTGCCTCAGTCCCCCAAATACTAGGATGACAGGCACGTGCCCCCACACCCAACTGGAAGCCACTATTTTGAAACCTCTTACTAGACACAGGTACTTTAATGCTGTTTCCTTGACTAGACTCTCAATAGGCAAATGAAAGACACCAAATCCATATATTTATTAAAATCTTCATCACTGATGCACTGAACAATAATAGACTGCCCTAGCTGCTAAGTGGTTGTGCAGTCAAATCACCTCCCTCAGGGTGTCCCTGGTTTTCTTTTTCTTTTTTTTTTCTTTCTTCTTCTTTTTTTTTTTTGTTTTGTTTTGTTTTGTTTGTTTTGTTTTGTGTTGTGTTGTTTTTCGAGACAGGGTTTCTCTGTGTAGTTTTGGAGCCTGTCCTGGATCTCGCTCAGTAGATCAGGCTGACCTTGAACTCACAGAGATTCGCCTGCCTCTGCCTCCTAAGTGCTGGGATTAAAGGCGTGCGCCACCGCCACCCAGCCTTGGTTTTCATGTCTGCATAACACATGGGTTTGGGCCATGATGCCAGGCTGGGCTGACTCCTGCGGGGGGGGGGGGGGGTGTAGTTTGAGAGCCCTGGTGATCTAGGAATGCTTTTGATCTGAAGGGTGGAAGCCATGATTGTTCTCCAGCACCAAGCTGGAGGTCATCCTATCCCACACAACAGCCATTCTGCCTCCCAGGAACTTGGTAACAAAAACCTGAGCCAGTGGCTGGAGAGACGGCACTGCTGTTCACAGTGCCTACCACACCTCCAGATGACTCAGGTTTGGTTCTCAGCACCCCAGGAAGGCAGCTCACAGTTGTCTGTAGCTCCAGCTCCATGGGATCCAACCTCCCCTTCCCATCTCCAAGGACACACACATGTATATGGCAAATACACACAGACACATGGAATGCACATAAATAAATCAGTAGGGGCGGGAGGCAGCTCACAGGAACTCCATTTCCAAGGGATTGGGCACCTCTGGCTGCTCAGGCAGCGGCACTCACATGCACATCCCTACCCACACCCCCACATATGCAAATATGCATGATAAATTTAAAAATTGCACACACAGCTGTTTGGTGTTTCTGCTTCCTTTTGACAAGAACACAGTTTTCCAGGAACACACCACGTATGTTATGAGAAGAGCACTCAGGACTTAGTCTCGAGCGGCTTCTGAGGATCAGCCACCCGGCGTCTTGGTCTTCACTGTCTGTACCAGTCCACATCTGTAGATGCAGCATTGGTGGTGTTTCCCCTGGAAGCCCTCTGTTGTGGAATGTCCTCCAAGCACAGTGGCCATTACCATCGTCATCAGAGCAGCTGTGACGACCCAGAAGAGATCAGGGCTGTGGAAGTTCCCAACAGAAAGAGGGCATGGGGAGTGGCAGCAGATCCTCACCTGAGGCTCCAGCTGGATGCTCTTCTGTCCCTGCTGTCCGTGGTCTCCGGAGGTGCTAGACTATACAACGGGTGGAAGGTTCATTGAAGCGGGAATCTATACAGTTCAGTCTTGCGGGGCTGGGACTTGGGGGTAATGAGACTCTAGGAGGGGGGTCCTGGCTGTGGATGATCGGTCACGAGGGGCAGGCCTTTAGAAGTTCTAACACAGGACTGGTTTGGGGTCCAAGGTGCCTCCATCCTGTCCATCACCATGTGAACAAGCTACTCCAGCCTACCACCACCCGTCCACCATGCTTCAGACATTATGGGCTGAAATCCCTCTGGAAGCAAGGACCCAGAATTCTTTCCTCCTGGTATTGTCAGGCATTTTGGCCACAGC